TGAACGTGAGTCAAATCATAACAAACCTAAGTACACTCCAAAAACCAAATGGACACTGAAACTGATTAATAGTATTTACGTTAACTTTGATGACTATTAAATGCCGACTTTGCATGCCTACATCAAATACATTACTAATTACTATTCGGGGAAGAGATGGGCCATCCCGAGTTAATTTGGATGGTTAGAATTATTAATTTTTACAAAATAAAAATTGAGAAATTGAATATTGATTAACCCAAAATTTATATTATTTGCATAAAAATTTAGACGGTTTTTTTTTAATGTAACGGGAGAATTCTTGATTTGTTTCCGGCGAGTAGAGATACGTTTATATCAATTTTATTAGAATCGGATCAGACATCGAACCTACAGAGAGACTAGGTCAATGGTTTAGTAGTTCAATCGTTAGTTTAACTGATCGAACCGATCATATAATAAAAAAATATAAAATATAATAATTTAACTATTAACTATTTAACTTGTATTCAACTATTCATATTTAACTTATAAAAAAAAATATAATGATTGTTGAATGTGTGAATTAACTATTAACTATTTAACTTATATTCAATTATACATATTCACTGTATGACTGTTCAAAAAAATATTGACTGTGTTGTACACGGAGAGAGAGAGAGGAAAAGAAGACCCATTAAGCATGTGAGAGACACAGAGAGACAGAAAAAGACCCAGCATGTGAGATAGAGAAAAATGACCCAGCAAGCCAACATTTTTTCCATCATTTTTTGTGGGTTGTGTCTGCGTGGGGAGGGAGAGAGAAAGAAAAAGAAGAAGAAGAAGGCTTGCACAACTTAGAAAATCTAGGTCTGTGGTGTTCGAGAGCTAGATTTATGATGTTCGCCGCTGTTTGAGACGAAAATGACGAAATGTGGTATTCGCCGTTGTTCATCTGGAAAAAGACGGAGAAAATGAAGGCTGCCGAGTAGTTTTAAACTTTGAATCGGCCGATTTTAGAAATTTTCGGTTCACTTGGCCAAAATTGTCCGGCTTTCCGGCTCCCAACGATTTAATTCCTTAGGAGATCAAACTAAAGAACCGAACCGTTTTAGGTTTCGGTTGATCTGATTCTAATAATACTGATTTATATTGTTTAAACTCATGAGTCTGAGTAAAATCGGAGACAAATTCTAAGTGCATAAATCAATCCCTCAATTTATACACCAGTTAAATTAATATTTGCGTTTCGATGAGGATTCGAAGTCACACCAGATATTTATGTTCCGTTTAGTACGATGAAAAAATAGAATTATGAAAAGTTGGAAAGATAGATAAAACTATGAGTGACAATCGAGTCGTGTCATGTCGAATAATTGTGGGTTTGTATCAAACATTAGTCAACCTTAACTCAATTTATTTAACTAATAGTGTCATGTCAAGTTGATTTGTTTACTTTCGTATCGTGCTCGTGTTCGTATTCGTGTTGACCCACATAAAATTTGAATAAAAAATTTAATGTTCAGATTTTATTTTTCTTTAATTGAATCCATGCTCATTCATTTTTTTTCCAAACTAAAAATTAACTTAATAAACATAATAATAATAATAATTAGTAAAAAAAAATTTATACAATAATTATATTAGTGCTTAATAAACAGTTACAAATAATTAATATTTTATTTATATAATACTAATTAAACATATTGATCGTGTTAATTTCGTATTATTCTTGTTACCACACAAACGAAAAAACAGAAAAAATATTAATTTTTAAATAAAAATCGTGTCAATCTCAGGTTTGATGGGTTGAACTCGAACATAACCCATTTATATTTTGTGTCGCATGTCGTGTCATTTTTTAGTTTATGTCGAATTATAATCGAGTTTATGTCATAAAATTTGTGTCGAGTTCGAATCATGTCGTTGGTTTGAGTCAAAAATTGTCACCTCAAAATAAAACATCATTTTTAGAACAGAATGATGAAAAAATTAATGGATTAATTTTTTTTTCAACTCACCAAAATTAATCTCTCTAAAATTTGGAGAAAAAGTAGATAAAAAAACTAATAATGTGTTAAAATGTATGTTATTTGTGTATATATCATTTGATATATACATAATATCATATTTATCAATTATATATTATGTATATATTAATTTTGTATATAGATATAATAGTAAAATATGTATTTATATTTTTTTATAAAAATTAAATATTAAAAAATAAAATAAAAAAATTTAAAAAATACTTTTTCCATCTAATCAAAAAAAAAAAATCAATCATTCCTACTTTCTATTTTTCTTACCAAACACAAAAAATGGAAAAAGTGATTCCTCATTTGAAGGATGAAAAGTGTATTATTCATTCTTTTCATCGTTTCATTTTTTCATCTACTCTACCAAACAGACCATTAGATACAGACTATCAAAATAACTAAAATTCATCCTACCAATCAATCGTATTATTTATCGTTCAGGGAAGTAAAACCCTTGATTTGAAGAAAATAAAGTCCTCAGTGAGATAAAAACAAGATACCATTAAACCGATGTCTGGTGGGTAAAAATTAGATAGTTACAGTCCTACAGAGATACCATGCTGAAAATTAATCTGGATCGTCATTAAAATCTGAAAGGGACCTCCATATGTTTGGTTGGAGGGGCAGCATACATTCACACAGTCTTTCCGTCAGCAATGTCATGACTGGTTCTGATACGTTGCTTTTAAATTTTATGTACAATTGTCATGGTACTACTACAAGGCTAGAGAACCACTAGTTGGAAGCCCCATTTAGGCCACACATTTTTTTGCTACACTTATCACATACATGGGGCTATAGGAATGACATTTTCTTTAGGTAAAAATAGTTTTCCTATACATGGTCTGCTATGATAAATTAAAGTTCATTCATTGCAATGATTCAAGCACTGCCAGTAAATTTTTTTTAGCTTTTGTAAGTTGTAAATTATAACTAATGCAAGTTGTACCTGAGCGGTCCATGGATTTGCCCAACCCAACCTAGTAACCTAACCCACCATTAGTTATTAATTGGATTTATTTCCGGACACTTTTGAATGTACACTAACTTCTCTTTCAATTTCTTCCTCCAAGGCCTTAAGAGAGATTGGACTCTGAATAGGGATGGTAACGCATTAAAAAATGGGTATTCGTTCAAATCCGTCTCGTTTAGATTGAAGATGAACCATACATATTAGATAATGAACGTATACGGGAATATCCGTATAAATCCATGCCGAGATGAAGACGGGGATATACCAAAACTCATGTGTTTCGCCTCCGCCCTACCCCATTAATTAAGTGAAATATATATTTGTTATACATATTATTTTTGTGAGTTTTTATGTTTAATCTGTTTGTTATATAATGCGTTTTCATTTATCTAGCAAATTCATTTGTGAGGTTTTATAGATTTTTTTTAGTTTTTATTAATTGTTACGTACGGGGACAAGGATGAGAATCAAAATTTACCCGTAGTGTAAGGACAGAGATTAAAATTTTTCTCGCAAACAAAGGTGGGCCGAGGATAGATGAATGTTTTTGAAGTCGAAATAGGGTTGGAGACTACTCTCCCCGCTAGTCCACTGCCATCCCAAACTATTAAGCATGAATATATGACATACAAATATAATATGATAAGATAAAATTTGAAAAAGGTAATATACGGGTAAAATCAAGATATGTCTATTATAAAAATATATTTTATATTGTTACTATTATTTACTAACATAATAATCATATATTTTGGTGGTTTTTTTAAACAATAACAAGCAAAATTAAAAATTCCTTTTACTTTCAAAAAAGTATATATTATCTCATTATAGTGTATTTGAAGATGATTAATTAAAGAGATTAGAACCAATGTTAATTGGTTGGTTTGCTCAGAAGTATTTGTTACTAAAGGGCGTGTATTCAATACATATTTTGAAATATCCGACGAATATCATACCCAACACAATATGTCGNGTACCTGAGCGGTCCATGGATTTGCCCAACCCAACCTAGTAACCTAACCCACCATTAGTTATTAATTGGATTTATTTCCGGACACTTTTGAATGTACACTAACTTCTCTTTCAATTTCTTCCTCCAAGGCCTTAAGAGAGATTGGACTCTGAATAGGGATGGTAACGCATTAAAAAATGGGTATTCGTTCAAATCCGTCTCGTTTAGATTGAAGATGAACCATACATATTAGATAATGAACGTATACGGGAATATCCGTATAAATCCATGCCGAGATGAAGACGGGGATATACCAAAACTCATGTGTTTCGCCTCCGCCCTACCCCATTAATTAAGTGAAATATATATTTGTTATACATATTATTTTTGTGAGTTTTTATGTTTAATCTGTTTGTTATATAATGCGTTTTCATTTATCTAGCAAATTCATTTGTGAGGTTTTATAGATTTTTTTTAGTTTTTATTAATTGTTACGTACGGGGACAAGGATGAGAATCAAAATTTACCCGTAGTGTAAGGACAGAGATTAAAATTTTTCTCGCAAACAAAGGTGGGCCGAGGATAGATGAATGTTTTTGAAGTCGAAATAGGGTTGGAGACTACTCTCCCCGCTAGTCCACTGCCATCCCAAACTATTAAGCATGAATATATGACATACAAATATAATATGATAAGATAAAATTTGAAAAAGGTAATATACGGGTAAAATCAAGATATGTCTATTATAAAAATATATTTTATATTGTTACTATTATTTACTAACATAATAATCATATATTTTGGTGGTTTTTTTAAACAATAACAAGCAAAATTAAAAATTCCTTTTACTTTCAAAAAAGTATATATTATCTCATTATAGTGTATTTGAAGATGATTAATTAAAGAGATTAGAACCAATGTTAATTGGTTGGTTTGCTCAGAAGTATTTGTTACTAAAGGGCGTGTATTCAATACATATTTTGAAATATCCGACGAATATCATACCCAACACAATATGTCGAGCTTAACGAAGTATCCATGTTTTATAGTTGGAGGACGGGGCAGGGAGAGAGAGAGATGGGGGATGACAAACATTACAGAAGAGATGTATGTCCCTGATTCAAGCACAGATATGAATTTCTACAACCAAATTATTCAAAATGCCCATTGCCCAAACCATGTCAGTACATAATAGCAACGTTGCCAAATGGAAACAACCTCCATAAACAGATATGACAAGCTATAAGTTTTCATCAAAACTGATGGATACAGATCTATCAATTCAAATAAAGCCCTTACTGATAATTAGTTCTCATTCAATATTGTTCAATCTGTGCACTAAACAACAGCTTCTACTATAATCAACAATACTTGGACAAACAAAACTTGAATAATCAAACAACAACAAAGAAAACAACATGGCTATTTACATCTACCACATAAACGTGTCGAACGAAAGCAACAAAATACCTCTTTTATCGCCCGTCAGCCGAAGTAAAAGAATCGGCAAAACCAGTAGGCCTGGTTGGGATGCTATCCTTGCTGTCCTCAAGGTTCAAATAACTGCTGTCCTTTCCTTCTGCTTCTTGCCAACCTTTCACCATTTGGTTAAGGGGAAGGCTGTAATCAATACCACAATATTCCTCTGTGTCATCATCCAATGGTTTCCATTTCTCGACTAGCGGGGCCAATACATTCACAGCATGACCCATATCAGGGCGTTGGCTAGGTTCCCTTGCAGTGCAGTGACCGGCCAGTTCAGCAATGATGGAGATGGTCTCAAATATTTCTTCTTTCATGCCAAACACCGGGTCAATAGCAGCCATGAGCTTCTCTTTATCGGATTTAATGTGCCAAAACCAAGCAGCCAAGTATTGGCTTTCCTCAGGTCTGTCCTCATCAAGCGCCGTTAGTCCAGTTAATAGCTCCATTAGCACAACCCCAAAACTGAAGACATCGACTTTGGTTGTGATTTTACCCATAACTAAATCAATTGGAACATCACAGCCAAGAGTTAATATTTCAACATGCTAAGATTGTCAGTTACAAAAAAAAAATACCATCAGTGCTAAGATTGTCATTTCTAACAGATAAGAAATAGGTGGTAAGTACGTGGTGGGGGGGGAGGGGGGGAGATAAGGTAAAATGTCGACAACTTCCAGAAGTAACTCACAATAGCTATGCTTGCAGGAGATACTTCAGTTTCATGTCTTGACAACTTAACCAAGTCCAAATTGGCTAGCTTAAAACCAGTCTGTTCGGAACTATCACAGGTTCGATTTTGCTATTCAATTCTACAAAGTCATGTATCCTATTTTATTTATTGTTGATGGGAGAGACAGTTTATTATCCTAAAGGAAAACAGTTGGATACTTTATCAAGTGAGTAGATATGGAGTTTTCATGAATTCAGTAGGAATTATGGTGTTAACATTTGTAATAAACGTAACTCAGGAGTGTATATAGAAGAGAAAAGTTACCGGCATATTCAGGTGCTAGGTATCCAAAAGTCCCTGCGAGCCTTGTCACTACAGACTTCTCACCATCAGGAGCCAGTTTAACAAGCCCAAAATCTGAAACTTTTGCTCTAAAATCATCACCAAGTAAGATATTCGAAGATTTGAGATCTCTGTGTATGAAGCTCTGATGAGCTAAACTGTGAAGATACTCCATTCCTCTAGCAACATCCAAGGCAATATTTAGCCTCCTCTTCCAAGACAGAGGCTCCAATTTCAAGCTCTTCCAATGGAAAAGATGTTTGCTGAGAGCCCCTTGAGGCATATATTCATAGACCAGAATTCTCTCATTGCCTCCAGTAGAATATCCCAAAAGCGATACCAAATGACGATGGCGGACCTTAGAGAGAACAGCAATTTCAGCCTGAAATTCATCCAAAGCTTTGCTGCTAATCACTCCGGACTCCATTCTTTTCACTGCTATTTTTGTTCCATCATCCAATTCTCCCTTGTAAACCACTCCAAAACCACCACGACCAAGCTCATTTTCTGGGGCAAAATTTTTGGTCACATTTCGAAGAACTTGAACTGATATGACCAGATTCCCTGACTCAATGACATGAGATTCCATGCCACTGCTGTTTCTGCTGGCAGAACCACTCCCCCTCAGCGTTGAAACACTTCCATTATTAGAGTTATTAGCGACAACAATCTTGACCATATTATCTGGATCAGATGAGTCTCTTGGATGAATCACAAGGGAACTCGGTGCTTGGTAGCTGCCTCTTCTCTTCTTACAGAAGTAAACAGAGAGAGGCACAACCAGACAGACCAGGACTGCAAAACTTGCAACAGAGGCCATAATTACAAGTAATTTAGACTTGTTGGAACTCTTCCCTTTAATTGGCACCTCACTAGGAGTACTAGGGCTTGATCCAGAGGTTGGGGAAGATGGTGTTTTGGGTGGGGAAGATGGTGTTTTGGGTGGGGACTGTGAACCACCAGATGGCGGACTGTTGTCTGGCGAAGGGGTTGGTCCAGAAGAATTGGAGTTCAACAAAGGATTCCCATTTAATACAAGTTTCACAGAACTACTGAACTTAGGCTGAGGGGGAGAAAGATTGTTATTACTCAAATCCAACAGTGTCAAAGATTTCAAGCTACTCCAATTTGTTGGAACTGGACCAGTTAAATGGTTAGACCCAAGTTTGATCTGAGTAAGGGAATCAAGGCTTGCAATTGAAGGACTCAAAGTACCGGAAAGATTAGACTTGGGTATGTTTATAATCCAAACCTTTTGGTCGGCATCACAATTCAATCCCAACCATGGCCCATCACATGGATTATTACCTGACCATGAAGAAGCAAGCCTTGAGGGATAATTCACAGCATCAAGGAATTCCAAGAGGGCCATGACTTCTGGGGCACAAGGAACCCCAGGAGCAGACTGACAAAAAGGATTCGATTTGTAAGTAACATTAACAGCTTTGAACTTTGGAATTGGACCCATGAACTGATTATTATTCAAATCTAATTTGTCTAAACTCATACTTGCCAAGCAATCAGGAATTAGGCCAACAAGATCATTGCGATTGAGATTAAAATCTTTCAACAATGTTAAATTACCAATATTCTCCGGAATTTTACCTGAAAAATGGTTCCCATGAAGCCATAAACTAGAGAGTGACACCATAGATGCGATTACATCAATTGGACCGGTCATCCCACCACCAGACTGTTCATTCAACCAAAGCATTTTCAACATGGAGTCCTTAAAACTCGCCGGAATACCCCCAGAAATCCGATTAAACGACAATAATAACACCGATAAGGATGACATATTTCCCAAAAATTCAGGTAAGGGACCAGCCAAATTACTACTAATCAGAGTAAGATTGGTCAATTGAGCTGAATTTTGCAGCTCAGTAGGCAGTGACCAACCAGTGGTTGCATTAAGGGGGTTATAGTCCAAAGCCAAGACCTCTAAATTCACAAGCCCATTGAAGAAATCCGAAGGAATTGTATCAAAATTGTTGTAATCCAAATAAGCATGCCTCAATTCTGATAATCCACTAAAAGATGGTAGCATTCCACTGAATTGATTCCTTTGAAGGCCTAAATCTGTGAGCATAGACAACTGGTTCAAGTTCTGGGGCAGAGGACCCTTCAATTTCATGTTTTGAACTTGAATCTGAGAAACCCTGCTGCCAGAACAAACGATATGTGGCCAACTTGGAGGACCACATGGATCATTACCATTGGCAGGCCAGTTCAAGAGGTCAGAGTTCTGTAACCCTTTTCTGAATTGGTTGAGAATTGCAAGGTCATTAGGGTCTGTAGCAGTAGAAACAACTGAAACAAGAGAGAGAAAGAATGTTACAGCAAGCCTTATCCGGTCGGCTTCCATAGCTGATTTTTGACACACCACCGTACAAGCATTGAGAGGCAACTTGGCATCAGAGAAGCTACATGAAAGCTCCAATGGCTGGTTCTTCAAATACCCATCTCACCTCTTGCAAGACAGAGTGAGAGAACATGTTTTCAGATCACGAGAGAGAGAGAGAGAGAGAGATGATTGGAGTGTGAAGCACTAGAGATCTTAGCAGTAGTATATGCAAAAAAAAAGAAGAAAAAATACAGGGAAAAATTGCAGTGAAACCTGAGGAAGCAGTGTATGACCACAAAAGGTGGATCACTGAGAGGAAATTTTGAACGCCCAAAAGAAAAAATGTTAAATTTAAGTGAAAAAATGACGCGGAATCAAAAGTGGGTCTATGTTCGGCATTTAATTTTCTTCTTTATTATCTCATCTGAATACTGTGGCTGCATGCATTGGCGTTGGATTTGGACACACACACACACACTCACACACACACACTCTCTCTCTCTCTCTCTCTCTCTAGTTTTCAAAGAGTATTTGAAAAATAATTAGTTGCTGTGTTTTTAAGGAGTAATGCTAAAAAAGAGTGTACCCAATGGACGCTTCCTCCGTTATTTATGAGGTCGGACGAAAATTAGGTGTACACTCTTACTTTTATAAATAAATAAACTGTTTTTCATTATTAAAATTTATAACTTTGAGATCACAACGGGACAAATTTACAATTTCGTTAAGGCTCATCATTTTAAGGAGTAATGCTATTAAGATTTAAAAAATTAATCCAATTTATAAACCTAACAATGTGATAATGACGTAGTCTAATAATCCTATTGTAATGATAACTCTTCGATTTTTTCTTTAAAACTTCTTCGATTAACACATTATATTAAAAAATTAGATTAATTTCTTAAATTTTAATAACATTACTCGTCTCTAAATGGCTATGGAAGTCTATGGTTGATTCTAGAAGTCCGTGACGGGTTTTTTGACTTTTTTTTCTTTCTCTGTGGAATTCCTACCGAAACTATTAAGACTTGTATGCGGACAATAGAGTTCCATTGCCGTACCTAACTTTTTATGGGCAGTTTAGTGGTTAAATATGTACTTTTACAAATAAAAATTTTCAAATTTATTATTTCTCATACTTATTAAGAGTTAATCACCCTTATTTATTTGGGGACATATTCTTAAACTAGTTCATGTTACAGTTGACGATTTTCAGAATTTAAAGAAATAATCGGTACAAACTTAAACACTATGTAACAAAAAAAAAAATTATATATGCCGGACAGATAGTACGAGAGAGAAATTTTAATTTGGACTTTGTAAGAATGTTCTAGATTAGTTGTCTCCATTAACAATTGATATAAATGAAAGGCTTAGCAAAAAGCTAGGAACATGTGTGTGCAGGATCTTACACAATATAAATACGAGAACAGATCTCTCCCGTGGTGAACTCGAGTCAGTCAATCAAATGGTCAACCTTGCTATTGGGAACAATCTGTGAGATCCTGTGGCAACCTAGAACGATAATGGAAGATCCACGTGGATCAACGGAGCGATCCAGTAAGGCTGAGGAAGGTTCCTGGAACAAAGAAAAGCAAGTTAGAAGGGTGCTGGAGTGTTTTTCGGCGTATCCCCTCTGACGATCAAGTCAGTATTTGAGAGAGGGGAAGAAGAAAATACTGAGTATAGGTTTTAGGAAAGGTTTTTTGTTGCGTACCCTTTTGCCTTTTGCGATGAGTATTTATACCTCAAAAACTCATGATTGCTGTTAGTGTGGTCAATAGGTAATCATTAGTAGGTACAGGCAACGTGCGCACTGATTCCTATGAGGAATGTCTTTTCTTAAATGCTCAGGATCCCGAGCAGTCAATGCGTTGTCATCAGCCTGCCGAATATTCAATGAACTCTTCTCGGCAAGAGAGTAATAAATGCCCAGTATCAGGGACATTTATTGTCTTTCTCTTCCGAGCCTTACCGCATTAAAAGCTGTCTCATCAAGGGAATGACATAATTAAATGCTTGCTTTTCCAAGTTGTGTGTCAGCAAGGACATCTGGTCTTTTTGTCTCTAATGTGACACAATATGCCACGTGCCCCTTCTCGATTGACTGCGTCTTCTGCCTTCCTGTGCCTTCTGACACCAATTGTGTAAGACGAGGTCATGATGACTAATCTAACCTAGTCTAGGCTAATGATCTGTACATCAATAGCCTCTGCGGGAGCAGAGAATGCCATCCTGGACCACACACCTGGGAACCGAGGGGGAGATACATCTCAGAGCCGAGAGGGAGGTACACATAGGGACCGATGTACCATATCCCCGACCGAGGGATACGTGTCAATACGCAAACGTATTGGATGCCATTGATCTCTACGACCAGTACCTCTGGAGAGAGGGACTTGTGAACCGATGGGTACGTGTCATGATCACAATAACAAGAATTTAGTGTCAGCGAAGACACGTGTCTTCATCTTGAAATATTTTAAAAATGTCCCATCAGAACCGTCGTTGGAATACACGTCTACTAAATCGTATAACGGGCTTAGTTAAACTTGGTTTAAATAGAATTAAATAATATTTATACAAAAATAAAAATCATACCCATAGGATGAATTGATTGAAAGCTAACCAATTAGCTGTCCATCATTATTTCTTTTGGGCGGGGCAGTAGTTATCCATTAACTATCTGTTTCCACGCTATTTAGTATTTACTCTTTTTATTATTAAATTTACCTCATTTATACACATTTCAAATGATTAAGTTCACCTTATTTTTATTTATTTAATTAAATTTGTGTTTTAAAATATTTTGACCGATATTTTAGAAATAAATTATTAGGTTTTTATTTTGTTTTTGAAACGTTTCTATACAAAAATAGTGTATTAAAATAAAATTTTAATAGTTGTCAATATAGTAAATTGAAAAAAAATGGGATGAATTTAATTTTTAATTGGTGATTATAGATGGGGTAAGTTTAATAATTAATGAGATGAGTACAGATAGGGTGAACTTAATAATTTAAAATAAAATAATTAAATATGACGAAAAAAGAGGTTTAAGAGGTGGGAATAACTCCACCCATTACTTTTTCTTTTGAGCCAAATGAGTTCAATCCTATTCTTTACCGCACGGATTAGAAGATTATTGTTGTTTGGTTCAAACATCTCTACCCATTGAAAATAAAAATTTATTATATTGTTTTGACACTAAATCAGCAACAAATAAGAAAAAGAACCACAAGCATTGTGTAATAGGATCTTTAAAGACAAGAACATAAACCCAGAAATATATTTCAAGTAGTAACTGAGATGTGTTGTAAATTTAGATGCCTTAAATTTAAAATTTTGACAACTTTGTGCATGTAAGTCGATCTAAACACTCTTAACCGTTCAAAAAAAAAAATTAATCTATTACTTTGGACAATGGTTGACCACTAGGTTCACTAAGTTGTTTGTTGGGGGGGGGGGGGGGGGGGAGGAGGAG